GCGTCGAGGATTAGGACCCATATTGTTAATATTAGTTGAAAGATGTTTCTGATTTAGACCAGTTGGGCATTTTGTAGTTGTACTCCATTTTACCTGTAAATTGGAGGTTTCTTCCATACTAATAACAGTAAAGAATGCATCCATGGCATTCTATTTTTATTTTGAACAACTCAACTATTCAAGGCTACAAAAGAGCCAACTCCACAAAGAACGAGTAAACACAGTAGAAAACATCCAACGGAAAAGCCTAGCAATTGAACAAATATCAGTGAATGAATAGCGCCTTCAAAAGCTTGAGATAAAGAACACCAAGAGAGAGCTCTCATCTTGATGAGTTCAATCGAACAAATTGTTTGATTTCTTGTTTTCCTTCTCTATTTCTGTGCGTCTCTCGTTGCTTCGCTTAGCTTAGTTTTAAGTTTGGAGTTTCATTGTAGCAGGTTTTGGAGTAATGGCGTGGCAGTTGTTTAAGCTTAAAAGGACAATGGAAGAACCATTGGTAACTTCTGCTTTAAGCAATGCCCAACACTAAAGATAAGAGAAAGAGACAGAGGAAATTGTAAAAGAAACATTGAGATTACTACAAAACTTCAAACCCACTGCCCACTGCCATCCGACAAGATTTGCCCACTTGAACGACATCTGAAAAAAGGCAATGTACAATTCCCGACATCGCCAATACACACTCCTGCTTCTTCTTCTTCTCATATTTTGAAGGCTTCACAGTTAGCTCCAAAAGTTTGTCCTCAAACCAAGAGAAATCATCTTATCCAGTAAAGAAAGAAACTTTAACATTAAATTTGCCAAAAGGCCACATGTTGTTCGTCAATGGCGTTCTTTGTTTGCTGGAACACACGAAATTACTGCCATTTCTTTCGCATTCACTCTACTACTTTTCCTTCGATGGAAAAACCTTTAGCTCTTTAGCATAAACTATTATTTGATCAATTTTTTAACATGTTTTATATTATCAGTGTAAGTAAGGCTGCTTTAAAAGTAAAAAACAAAGGCAAAAAACCAAACCCTGTGGAAGTGATTTCTGGTTTCATTAATTTAATAAAATTAAATTATTACTCCCGTGACCGACAACAGCACCAACACCACAGAACATCACACTTCTCAATTCCCAGTCTGGATTTTTTTTCTCTTTATTTATACAGTTATTCAACTCAACCCAACCCAACCCATTCATTCAGTGCCCAACAGACTACCCATTCATGCATTCCCCTGTGTCCCTACCCATGCGGTTCTTCAAGTGTCCTCCTGCAGCCGTGGGTATGAAGCTGCGCGGTATAATGGCGGTGGCTTGTTTGCTGCTGCTGCTGCTAATTGCAGCTCCGAATAGTATGAATGGAGAAGAGGATATCAACGTTGTCAGCTTAAACCAAGCAACCCCAACTCAGAAACAGCACCGTACGATGAGTTCATTCCATGCTTTACAGTCAAGTAAGAGGAAGGTTCCAAATTCTTCAGATCCACTTCACAATCGTTGAGCTTTGTTTCCATTTTCAAAATTTGTTCCATGATCGGTACATAAACAGATTTTATAAGCATAACATTTTTCATACTGATTATATGTGACAGATTTTGCCTGAGATTTATATGGTGTTTTGTTGATTTGGCTTCTGACTTTTGAGGTGGGAATATGATGATATGAATGGGGGGTGCTTATGCGATCACACATGAAACATTATCGGATCAGTTTTCAGCATGTAGGCACCTCGTATTACTGGTCTTCAACCCCACATGTTTGCCTCTACTTTTCAACTTACTTTCATTCTGATACATAATTTCCTAATTCAACTAAAATATCAAATATTTAATTTTACTTAGGAATTGTATGGTTAATCTCAAAAAATAAAAATAAAAAAATAAATGTGGTACTCAATTTTTTTCCTTGTGGTTGATATAGGTCCGGTGAAGATAAGGTAGCATGGATATTTCATTCTCGGGTGAATGAATATGAGTAAGGATAAAATGGGTAAATTTACGACTTACCATGTACCTATTTTCATTTAATGCGAGTGGCCTATTATTTAATTTTTTTTTTATTTTATTTTCTAAATGGTACTTGATTTGAATAAAAAAAATATACATTTATATAATTAATTTATTTTACTGCCACACTAAATTCGGGGATCCACTTAAAATGTCCATATATCTTCAAAACTATAGAAATATATAATTTATTTTAAACAAAAAATTAATTTCACTATAATTATTTTAAAGCTTCTCAACATGCATTATACATGTGGCATGTGGCATGTGGCATGCAGTTGTGTTTACTAAAGTCCCACACCCAAATTATAAAAATAACCAACGCATGCTTGCTTCTGTTTTCTTTTTCAATTAAATTAAATTCAAATTTAATTCATTCATTCAATTAAATTCAAATTATCAAAAGCTTTGAAAATAATAAATTTAATTTCAACTTGTTTTACCTTAAAAAGAAAGTCTTAAATTTGTGTTTAATAATACAAATAATTTGCATAATAATCTTAAAATCAATTTAATTATAATCAATAAATTAGTTTATCTTAATTAATATAAATTAAAACAATTTAATAAAAAAATTGAGAAGAAATAATAAATGAAAATTAAATAATATTAAAAATTGAAGAGAAAAAATAGTGTAGTCTTTTGAAAATTTGAGGCGGAAAATGAAATATACTAAGAAATTTGGGAGTGAAAATGGGAAGAAAAAAAGAAAAAAAAGAAAAGAAAAAAGAGGTGTGGAGGTTAAACAGTCTGATGATCAGCTTCACCATCTTCACCGCACATCATATATAATTTGATTCCAGAAGGGTAATCCGTTCCTATAACTTCACCGGCAAATAGTCTCTCTTGTAGTAACCCTTTTCCCAAAGTTCCCATTTTTAATTCACATCTCATTTTCCTCAACCTCAAATTCCCCCGGCGCTTCCCCTTTCACGGCCATGTCCGATCAAGACTCCTCCCCTCCGGTCCAAGTTGAATCCCGGGAGCCGGAGATCAAAGACCCCATTAAGTCGGCGAACCCATTTGCTACCAAATTCAGCATATGGCCACCAACGCAGCGCACTCGTGACGCTGTTACAAGCCGTCTGATCGAAACCCTCTCCACCACTTCCATTCTCTCTAAGCGTTACGGCACGATTCCGCCTGAAGCCGCCGCCACCATTGCGCGGGTCATCGAGGACGAAGCGTATGCCACTGCCGATGGGTCTCCGACCACCGTGGACGACGGCATCGAGATTCTGCAGGTCTACTCCAAGCAGATTAGTAAGCGGATGCTCGAGGCGGTGAAGGGTAGAGCGATTCCCGCGGCTCCGACGGAAAATGGTGAGAAGGAGGGATCGTCATCGCCTGTTGTTGATCCTAACGACGAAAACCCTATTTCAGAAATTGAATCTTGAATTTCTGGGTTGTTGGTCTTAATGTTATTACCCTGTTTGAGCTTCTTTTACTGGAGATCTGCGTGTCCACAATCCACACATTGCATACAAGACAATTGTTTGTTTTTCTTGTGTTCTACGACCTTATATTCAATGAAAATGGAAGCATTTTATTGCCTAGAGTTATCTTTATTGATGAGAGTATTCTATTATCATGTCGCTTGAATCTTGTTGTTGGTTTCTTCATCTCTGTTGAAACTAGAATCCCTTCTTTGCTTTGACATCTCTGCTTATTGTGGTCTTTCTTGGGAAAATACCTCCTCTAAGTTGTTCGAGGATGAGACTTTTGGCCTTTCCCATTTTGTCTTGGAATTGTTGTGTGATGCTTCGCTGTTACATTACATTTTGATTCAATCTCCCATGGTCTACTAAAGGGATAACACTATACGTATAAGCCTTTTCAGCTTGCTAACATTATCATTTATCACTTGATTTTGATTGCTCGAATTTGTGGATGCTTGGGGGCTCATAGTGTTTGTTTTGAGCACCAATGCTCGGACCCATGTCCCCAGAATCCAAATCAGTTGTCAGTCCAACACGGAAACTGATTTCGACCCCTTCGAATTGTACAATTCATTATTCACCACTAATTTGAGTGTCTGATATCTTGTGAGTTAAAATAGTTTCCAGAATATTGAAAGACGCAAAGCCGAAACTGGCAATGTAAAGTTCATACATTTTCATTCATCCACAATACAATTGGCTCCCCTATGTGTTACTACTCTTACTATTTGCATTGGCAAAGATCAAACCTCTAAATAATCTCTCTAAAATTTTGAAGTGTACATACCATTTCTAGATGGGAAAAAAGAGAGAAAAACAAATGAAGAACGGAAAGAAGTTTCTTTCAATCCTGCGTTCTGCTAGTGTCCAGGTCCTCTCATGCTCGGGCCGAAGCATGCTTGAATGCCCGGCTTCCCTTCCGATGACCCCTAAAGGTAACAAAGCCAGTCGGGTTACCTACAGATCCTTGCAGAGCTCGTCCAATTCCGGTCGTGGGTGGTCTGAGGCGCCTGCAATCCACATGAACAAGCAGCATTGCGAACAGTATCATCACAACAACAACTCCACGCCTCATCCTTGCTTTTGAATCAACAGAGACTTGGGAAATCGCCCTTTTATGTACACAAAGAAACACCAAAACATTTTTCACCAAATCGCCAAGGGCGGTGGTGTTACTACTTTATATATTTAGATTACCAACTCCTTTGACTCTTGCGTTTTATTTCTGTATTTCCCCTCTTTTTCCACGCTGTTAGGGACATGGGCTTGGTTCAAACACAAGGCCAATCGTTCATACAGGAAGAAAAATGAAGAAACTTTGTAAAGGCGAGGTAGGCCTTCATTTGCAGGGCGACCGCCACAAGGGAGTGATGTAAATATCACACGCTTTCTCTTCTGAATCATGCTACAGCTTCAATACATATTTATATATGATTATCTGCAGGTTGGCACGCGGGTTCTACGTTTTTATGTTTTAATATTTATAAATTTGGTGCTACAATTCATGCAAAGCAAGGAAATTTCGTTTGTTTTAAAGGAGTTGGAACAAAGTATTATTAGAAGATAGTGGAAGGCCCAAGCAAACATTGGGAGGAGGTTGCACCACATCCATCCATTCCTCTCATCAATCATTGAATAGGATAAGACAACGAATATAAGAAACTTAAATTAGGGTATGCTTTGTGAGTTGAGATGATGGGTACATATACTATTGCTACTCCTGCTCATAAGTGACATTTTTTTTAATATTTCTTTTTTTTTTCGAAATATCCATTTTAGCTCGGAGAAAGAAAGAAAGAAAGAAGAACCAGATTGTTAATGAGTTATATAAATGGTGGATTGTGGAATACGATAAGGTAAGCTCCTCCTTGAGGCATCATGAAATGGATGAATTTGTTTGTTTAAGAAAAGAAAAAAAGAGAAGAAGCTGGAAGCGCATTGAATTTTGGCAGATTTGTGGCGTTCTAAACTTTTTCAGACAATTTGCATCACTTTACTTTACCAACCTTGTCCAACCCCATTCCTCATTTTTATTTCCTCCACCATCACCCACTACACCTCCTTTTCTCAACGATCTTCCTTTTCTTCAACTGAAAACTAAATCCCGATCAACAAGCGCCCGCCCCCTCTTCACTCCTTCATCACCATGAAGAAAATCAAATCAGTTTCACAGGAACAGCAATCCCCACCACCCTCCTCCTCTGCCTTTGCGAATTTAGACGACAATCTCTTGTTCGAGGTGTTTAAGCACGTCGACGCAAGGACACTCGCCACGGCCTCCGGCGTCAGCAAGCAGTGGTACAAAACCGCCCACGACGAGTGGCTCTGGGAGCTGCTCTGCACCAAACACTGGGCTAACATCGGCTGTGCTAACCCACAGCTACGCTCCGTCGTGCTTGCGCTTGGTGGCTTCCGCCGATTGCACTCTCTTTACCCATTTCCCCCTATCATAGGATCCGCATCCTGTATTGCCTGGGGCAAAGGCGAGGTTCATCTCTCCCTCTCTCTTCTCTCAATTCGGTACTACGAGAAGATGAAGTTCAAAAACAGACCCACTTCTTGAATTCTCAAGCTCTTTTGGATTTTAGATTGTTGTAAAAAGACAAAAATTTGGGTGTTCCAATTCCCCTCTCCTCCACCGACTGTATCGGTTTGTTTTAAATTCAGAGATTGTTTGGATTTGGGTGTTCTAATTTAACTAACTTACAGATTTTTCTTCTGTCAATTGACTGTGGGTGGATGGATTAACTTCCAATTCTATATGTATGTGTTGCTTTTCTATGCCAACTGTTACCTGAAGGAAGGGGTTTGGGGCATTTGAATGAAAGTAAAAGATTAGGGTTATGTCTGTCGACAGCTCGGTAACGTAAAAATTAAAATTGGCGTTGAAGTTTCTAAATGTTTTGACTAGGTCTTAATTTAATGGCGACAGCTTTCTTCCCCACTTGGAAAAGAGCCACAAAACAAATCTAGTCTTGGTGCAAATGGTTCTGTACCAAAATAGTTCATCGTTTTGTGTCAAATCAATCATGGGTCCTAAATTAATTACAAGTTGGAGGAGGAAAGAGTGGATGGGGTCTCATTGATTTGATTCACAGAGATAGAATAGAACTTGGCTGCTTCATGCTCTATTAAAATTCATGAGATGAAAGAAAGTTTTTAAGGACATCAACCATTGAATTTCTCTCTTGTTCTCTCTCGCTCTTCTTTCCCTGTACACTGCCAAAATTATTGTGATTTCTGTAAATCCGAAGGGGTTTGGCTCTGCCGTTACTACTAATCGATCTTGCTTATTCCAATACGCTTCACCACAGCGTTTCTGATGGCATCCGTCTGCAAATGCCAACCCTTATGCTCTATTCCAGACATGTACTTCCTCACTTCGATTTTTATCATCTCCTGCATCGCACCTAAGAACTCCGCACTAAATAACTCCGATTCTCTGCCAACCCCGCCTGTGGTAGGAGTTGCCTGAACCATATTCCGGGTCGGGCTCGCGACTGAATCCGATCCATACCCGGATGTCGATATGGATCCTGGCAATGAGAGGCACAGTGAGGTTGGAGGATCGTTGGAGTTCGCAACCTGCTCATGATTCGACGGAACAGTCGAACCGCTTCTAGCTAAGGGTCTGTATACGGGCAGCGGCGGCGATAGAGACGAGTCGCTCAACTCGGATCCGGATGGACTACTCGGGTTAAACCCAAACCCGGAAGCGACGATGACTGGAGCTGGACCAACGCTGGCAGATCTCTTCAGAGGCTGATGCAAATCCGGATCGTTGAAATCATCACCCATGGCGGAGCATTTACGCTTGAGCGTCGAATTCCAGTGATTCTTAATCGCGTTATCCGTGCGGCCATTCAAAAGGCGAGCAATGGTGGCCCACTTATTCCCAAATTTGGCGTGAGCTCTGATAATGGCGTTATCCTCTTCAGCAGTAAACGGGCGGTGCTCAACCCGAGGAGAAAGCTGATTACACCATCGGAGACGGCAAGATTTTCCAGAACGACCAGGAACCGACTTACTGATCAACGACCAATTTCTGGGTCCGTAGGTTTGAACCAAACTCTTCAACGACTCATCCTCCTCTGGACTCCATGGACCCTTAATCCGATCCACATCCTTCCTCATAGACTCCATGGATCAAAGGTTGGAAAACAAAATATTCAAATTTAAAAAAGCAAGAAAAAAGAAAAGGCGTCTGAAAATTTGTACAGAATTGAGAAGAAAAGGCGAAGGGGGTTTATGGAAGCAGCGAAGGCGAGGAGGCCTCACCCTGTTTGTTAAAGAATATGAGGGGAAGGAAAGGAGGATATTTATATGAGAAAAGATAAGAACGACCGGTTGAGCCGGTTGCACAGAAGAGGAGGATGCTTGGAGGGAAGGTAGTTATTCGCATACAGCTGTAAAGGACACGTGTCAGATATCTACGGCGCATGTTTAGTCATAAGTGGGACCCATTTGGAAAACTGCCTTACCTGCACACTGCAACAGGTATTTAGGTAATTAGCCAAATTCATGTAATGGTAAACAAAAAAGAAAAAAAGGCAACGGCATTTAAAAATGTTACGAAATTAAAGTCATGAAATTTAGTCCGTTAGGCTTGTTCGAGGATTATTAATTGATGGTAAATTAAATGAAGGGGAAAGGAGGTTAAATTGAAATTCAAACGAGGTGTTATTTAAGTTAATTAAGAAAATAAGAAGAAAAGAAAATAGGATAAGAATAATCTAAAAGAGAGTACGGTTGGGAAGTTGGACGGGAGCGGAGGTGTTTGACCACAACAGCCTGGACAGCATTTGAAAATAATTATTCATATTTATGTATTTTAAAACAAAAACAAGATATTTACAAATCGCAATGAGTTGCTGAGCTGGCCATAGAAGAATCGCAGGAAGAACGCCTTTGCTTTACTATCATGTCAGTCCAGGCTGTAACCTCTGCCCACAGACCAATTATACTTTATGAAACTTCCAAAACCCCCCCTCCCTCCACCGCCTTTCCCGTTTTCACGTAACTTGTGTTTCTTTTGTTTTTCTTCTTCTCAATTTCCCCTCGGAATTAAACTTATATTATAATATGGATTAGTTTGTATGAGATGAGTTTGGGGTGGGGGGAAGAATATATTATTGGATAAAGAGGTGAGGCCAACCAATTAAATTAATAAAAATCATATTGCCCTAATGGATAGAGTCCAAATCCGTCCCTATCAACAATGGAATTCCCGCAATAATAAAGGGAAAATCACAGCTATACGGACGCTGATCATCCGAACTTAATACTATGAGAAGCACCCCCCCTTGTCTTTTTATGAAAACTAGACATTCAAATTTTAAAATATAATCATTTGGGCGCCTGTTTTTCAATTTAAAATATAATGAAGAAGCCGTTGAAACGAAGGAGCTTATTGCGCAGTGGATCCGCGGTGATGAAAACACCCTTCCTTCTCTCTCACAAGGATGCCATCATTTTTGGGAAACGTACACTTGAATTCCCACTTACCGGAAAGGCTGAGATACCAATGGAGCCCAATGGGCTCGGAACCAAAATAGCCCCCCCTCGGAACCGGAAAGGCTGAGATACCAGTGGATCAACTTTCTGCCTTTCTATTCTTGTTTATTTCTTCTCTATTTTCTACTCTCTTTTTTGTGCCACTAAACACCAATCTTCTTATCTTCCCTGCTCTTCTTTTTCTTTTACCTGCATTGACTCAAATTACATTACTTTTTCTTGTTGTAAAAATTATAAAAGGATTCAATAAAATACTATAATGTATAGTCCCCCGTTGATCGCGGGTGAGAAGTTGCAGAAAACTGAAAACATAATTTGAAAAGATTTAAAGGAGGAGCAGTGTTAGACTAAAGTGAAAGCTTGGTGAATTTCATCATTCCCTTTCATCTAAAGCGTTAGAAAAGCACATGCAAACCCCTCCTCGTGGCCGTGTTCTTGTTTACTGTCATCAACTCAACTCCCAACAAAAAAAAAAAAAGATGAGCAGTGGATTCAGAATTAAGCCTAAAACATTTACTAATGAAATTCCCTTCTTCAAAAACACTGCAGCATAACTTTTGAGTATTTTTAGAGAAGCAGAGCAACACAGGGGACCATACTGTCCAAATGGTCGGTCTGATTTAAGAAGCCAAACTGGGAAGGGGGGGAGGTGGGTGAGAAACCAGAGTTTTGAATGGTCCCAACCCATTTGACGCAAATTTTCAAACATCAGATTGTCCTTAAATAAAATATTCAGGTCAAACCAAAAATCATTTCCTCCAAATCTCAATGCCCAAGTGGCCGACAAAATCTACTTCCTCTTCCCACTGTTCACATGCATACAAAAATCAACTCTTCTTCTTCTTCTTTTTTTTTTTTTTTTTTCCTTCCTTCTTCGTCCTTCAATTCAATTGTATAATATTTGATTCGTTTTCAGCCAACCCCATTACTAAAAATTTGATCTTGGCGATCTCAAGTTGAAAGATTTCATCAAACCCCATGTAAATGAAACAGATCATTGAAGTACTGAAACTGCTATTCGTTGTTATACATTCTCATGTTCTTTGCATCCGGATAAAATGCCAGCCATCTCTGCGTTTCCTTAAGCTTCCGATTGCACATTCATTCATAATAACTGACACATTGATAAACAATTTTGGGGCCTAAACTGCAGAGATGGTTAGGCAATTTAGCTTGCAGAATTCGATAAAATATTGATTCTAGTTCTTATTCAACATACAAGGATTACGAGGAAAAAGAACAAAGGGAAGTTAATTAAGAGAGGGTTCAGGCGAGGACATGTCGAGGCAATTTGTAGCTGTTGAATGATTCGCCATCTCCAGAGGCAGATGATCCATTGATCTGCTCTTCTTCGTTGAAGGCTCTGGCGAAGATGAAACCGACGAGGCCACTGACCACGACTCATTCGAGCTATCCGAGCTGAATGACACGTCTATCACGCCGTTCGGGCTGCCCGGAATTGACCCGAATTTACGTTTCTTAAATTGATTGCCGTTTCTTCTAGATGCATCTGAGATCAGCTTACAGCATTCCTCCACATTTCCCTGTTTTGAGAAAAAAAAAGAAAAATTATTCAAATCGTCGATTGGTTGAATTTGGGTATTAGGATCGAAATGCGAATACTAAATATGGACCTTTTCGATTCCAAGGATGGTAAGAAGCTGGGAATCGTATTCGATGCCGAAGTGGGGCTTCATAGCTTTAAAAGCGTGCAGCATTGTGGCGGTGGCCATTACAGAAGGAAGAAACGACATGAAATCCGAGTCTGCAAGTAAAAAGAACACCAAAAGGAAATGAGCGTGGGAATGCATTATAAAAGATGGCGATATTGTTAATTTATCTATGATTTCTTACCTAAGATAACCGAGAGAACAGTTCGTTCACACTGCCTAAGGATTTCCCAGCAGATATGGTCCTTGAATCCCAGTCTCCTTGAAATATAATCCACAAATGAAAATGGGGTGACAGGATTCATCCGCCATTCAAGCGTAGAGAGCACAAGAAGCTCCATCTTCTTAATGGTCTTGGTTTCAAACAGATATCTACTGTCTTCCACCTACACAAGTCAAAGCTCCGACAGAGATTAATGATTAATTGTTGAAGTAGAAGGATGAATATGTCCCAATCCGACCATTTGTAAGTTGGGTTATTAAGATTTGTGGAAACTTACTTGTAGGTCCAATAAAAGAGGGACTTGGGTCTCCTCCACTTTGGCAGCAAGAGAGATACAAGCAACAGCAGCAAGCTGAGACATCCACGGCTTGTCTGTTTGAAAATGAAAACAGGACAGAAACCGGTCCAAGTAATCGACGGCGAGAACCGCAGTGAGAGCTGAGAAGGAGTAATGGGCAGTGGTCTTCAGCATCCAGTCGACGGCACGTCGTCGGGCGGCAGCAAGAGAAGGGTCAATCTGAATGCTTTTAAACAGTTCATTAGGCCTCTCTTTTGAAAGCAGAGAAATTAGTTCATGGTCATCCCAAAACAGATCCTGCTCAGCCAAAATCGGAGAAGTTGAATCGGTTGTTAAAGTAGAGTAAGGTTGGTGGTGAAAACCCCTTTCCTCGTTGTCGTCCTCCTCCCAGTGCTCCTCAGAGCAATAAAGAGCATCAAGCGCATACGGTGGTACCATCTTCTTCTGAGAAGAAGAGGTTGAGATTTTGGTTCATTGTAAGGCGTGAGAGAGGGAAACTGAGTGAACAGAGGAGAGGGGCGAAGAAGACCAATCCTCACCCATGCCTGTAAGCTGCGCTCTCTCTCTCTCTCTCTCGTTCAGATGGAAGAAGAGCGAGTGGGGGGGGGGGGGGG